TGGGATGTATGCAACTACTATACATTATACAACTTCTCAAACCTTGAAATCACTTTGGACACTGCCACTATCCTTTACATTCATACTGATTTTTGCACAGTACTTGCTTTTTATCATAGCAGCACCCCCAAACCCAGCTTTTTGAAGACATCCAGTCTTCCAAAGTAATGTAACACAATTTCATAGACACTACCTCAAACTAATAATAGTTGGAGCAGTGTCCCACAGATGTCAAATATCACACAGATATTCCACAGATGTCAAAGATTATGTTGTTTCCCTCGAAAACTTTAAAATATTCCACAGTGCCTGTGTGAGATCACTACAGTGCCCCAAGGCACCTCCTGGCACAGTCTGGTAATCCTGAGTTTAAGAAACACTGATTGAGCTATGTATGTACTTACTTTGTAAATTAAGAAATGACACCTAAGGTCACTAAGCTAGTGGAAAATAAATACACTTTTAAGTTTAATCTTCCATCAACAAAAGTTTTGAAATATAATCTGTGATATATTGATGAAATCTACAGATCTCTGAAAAACTAAATTAAAAAATACATTTATATGACTGTATAATAGAAAAAATTGTTTCAGTTTTTTTAGAAAAAAGTTTCAAAAACTGTAAAAGTGGGACTTATAATAAACAATACAAAAGTATCTAAAGTAAAAAAAAAAAAAAAAAAAGGAAAGTCACCCACTCCCCCAGGGACAACATAGCTAATAGTCTAACATCTATCCTTACAGACTCTTTCCTATTCCCATACAAAATCATAATAAAATCAAATTTCTTTCTTTGCCCATGTGCATTTTCAAAACTGAATATTCCACAGTGTTATGCAACTTATTTTTCTCACTCAATATTATATCATGAACGTTCTTTAATGTCAGTATATAATAGTAATTGCAAACACTTAAACATTTATTAGTGTTTACTATGCTTACTTGCAGCTTAAATAGCAACTCATTTAATTCTCACAACAGCCCTGTCAAAAGAGAACTATAATTATATCCACTTTATGGATGAGTTTAAGTAATTTGCTAATGGCTATATCTAATAAATGATGCAGTTGGGATTTGAACCCAGAAAGTTAGCTGCATGGTCCTTGCACTTGATGATACACTCAGCTGTTTCTCATGAAGTAAATGGAGGTATCCCTCAACCTGTTAACAAGTGCACAGTATTTCACAGCATAAATATACTATAATTTCAACTATTCCTCTACCAATGGGGCATTTAGGATATTTTTTATTTATAAATACTTCCAGCATTTACTTATAATAATGTTAAAACGAACATCCTTGTAGATTTGTTCTTGTGCTTTTATGCCAAAATTTGTGGAAGCTAAACTCCTAAAAACAAAATGACCATCAAATTCATGCACTCCTAGTTTTGATAAGTAACAACAAATTTCCTTCCAGAATATTGTCCTGGTTGTACCAATTTATAGTCCCAATGGCAGAGGGGAAGGTTGAGGTTCATCTTTAAGTTAACAAATATTTTTGATTCAGGGAGAGGTCTATTTTGAGTTTTTTAACTTACCCTGATGTAGAATGAATAGATTGCCCAGTTGGTCACAATCATCATCTGATTTGATAACTATCTGTCATTAAACAGTGAAGACTTAGCAACTGTATAATGAATTCTTCATCCAGTTATAAAACCACTTTGCGTAAGATATTTCCCCTATATGATACTGTTCACTTATGTGCAAAACGTGGGAATTGGACTAGCTGGCCTTTAAGATTTAAAACTCCCAATGCTGTAATTAAGAAGTGACTTAAGGTTATTAAGAGCCTATAATTATAGTACTAATTAGGTCAGGGTCTTAAACCTTCTATTTTCTTTAAATTATAATAACTATTGCCAGAACACCTAAGCAAATCATTAAAATATCCAATAAAGTTTTCAGGATCCACCTGTGGCTTATTCTCAGTGGTTTTTAATCCCAGGCTGTCATTCCCTGCTACCTAACAAACTTGAACATATCTCTGGAGTATATTCTTAATTAGAGTTGATGTGTGCCTAGGAACATGAACTAGTGTTTGTTTTGTTTTCTATACATTATGCCAAAACCACTGTTTAGTCAATTTATTCAACTAATATTTACTGATTAGTTTACTATATGCTAGGCATTGGGGGTACAATAGTTAACAGAGGATCTCTGCCATCATGGAACTTAGATTAAATGAGAAAGGCAAATAACCAACCAAAATAACCAGTAGTAAATGTAAAATCATACTTGTGATAATAAACAAAAAGCCATAAGTGCAGGAAAAAAAATACACTATACAATCTTTTGATTGTGTTTCTGGACTATTTGCGACACTAGAAATTGTTTGACATGGGAAGACAACGTCAATAAAGAAAATTATTTCACAACTTGTCCCATGCTGCAAAAAGACAAATCACAAGTATAGATGGCAAGTTAACATTTTAAATCATCAGTTCTACAATAAAATCACCAAGATGTTACTACTTTCCAGTTATGCTACTATGTGGCCCAAATACTGGTTTTCATAACCAAGAGTATTAATCATTTGAATTATCAAAGACGACATAACTGTGAGTATCCAAACAAAATGAGAGAGGACCAGTCAACTACAATTTCTGAAGAACACTGTTCAAGCAAAAAGTACACACAGAAGTGAAGCCATCTATTATAATAATTCATGACTTGCTCATTATTAACAAAAATTATTGAAAGTACTGTTTTTAAAGAACGACAACCATCAGCATAAAGGAGCTAACAGCATGTCAAAAGGAGCAAAAACAATTTTTTAGATTTTAAAAAACTAAGGTCCAGGGATCCCTGGGTGGCGCAGCGGTTTGGCGCCTGCCTTTGGCTCAGGGCACGATCCTGGAGACCCGGGATCGAATCCCATATCGGGCTCCCGGTGCATGGAGCCTGCTTCTCCCTCTGCCTGTGTCTCTGCCTCTCTCTCTCCCTCTCTCTGTGACTATCATAAAAAAAAAAAAAAATAAATAAAAAATAAAAAACTAAGGTCCAGAAGTATCTATATATTCAATTTAAAAATAAAAATAATTCTACGATGTTAACTAGACTTGTGATCATTTCACAATACATACAGAACCATTACGCTGTACACCTGAAACTAATGTCAATTATACCTCAATAAAAATAAACAATTCTAGATCTGCAGAAATAAGACCATCATTCATATAAATAAACTCCCTTGTGTATCAATTTCCACAACTGCAAAACAAAAATATTTGCCAAACCTACCTCGTACAGCTATAAAGACTAAATAAAATATGTGGAGATACACCAAAAGAAGTGATGTAAATTATTTTAAACAGCTCCTTCTTTTTTGCTGCCTTTATAACAAAGTAATTCAACAAATAAAAATTGGTTAGATAGGGACTCCATCTCCTTTCTACTGTCCATGATATGACAGAAGTATTATCAAATGGGCAAAAGACTGGCAATCAAAAGCATAAGGAAAAAATTCTAAACTTCATAATCCATAAATTGATTTCCCCACAGGAGGTTGGTTAAGTAGTAACACCCTTACACAATATCAGAGAGTCAGAGAAATTATCTCACACATGTATGAAATTGTTTAGTTACTGGACTTCACCATCGTTACAAACCCAACCCCCCTGCTACCGTGAAAAAATGAGATACATACTATTTATCCACACATACAATGTATTTTGGCTTGATGTTTATTTTCTGATTAAAGCACCTTAAATTCAATCCAATGACGCTTCAACGCTTCAGATTTACTTTATTACACTAGGTGGAGTTCCTCAATTTTGCACACCGAAATTAATTCATGTTACACATCCATGGGTTTGAAGCAACTTGTACCATTGGCCTAACAACCGATCCCCCAAAGTCACAATCTCATGTTATAAGCAACACACTCCCTTGTTTAATTAAAAGCAGCATTTTAAACTAAAGTGCTTAAAGTGGAGAGCAGCTTTCCGTATTTTATCATCGCTTTTACAAACCGTTTCGCACTGTTGCTAGGTCTGCCTAAGATAGCCTTTTCCTTTAAAACCTTTAAGCACAAGACAGGAGGAGGCATCGCTAACATGGCAACATAACATTAACGACTTTTCCAAATTCAAAACAAACAACAACAACAACAACAAAAAAAAAAACAATCAGATGGGAGTGCACGGATACCGATTACCACTCCTGACAACCTGTCCTATAAGAAGGATCTTTTCCTTTAGGAAAGATTTGCTACTACACTAACAACCATGTTAAAATCTCATACCTATGTACAACCTCCTATCTGAAAACTAAAAACCCAGCGAAATTCCAAAACCGTATCTGTGAAACCGGTTAAATATTATTTACCATGTTGGGCCACATTTAAAAAGAGGGCGGGGAGGGGAGGGGGAGAAATACTGACAAACTTTCAAAGCTTAAAGCCTAAGAAATCCCCCCACACACACACACACACACAAACACACACTAAACCATCTGTGAAATAAATCGGTAGACTACGTTCAGCAGCTGCTTGACTGGAGCAGATCAAAGTTTTCCCCTATACTTGAGAATGTTTATCCCCACCAAAAAGGAACAGAAACCCAGTCATCCTTGCCACTGGAGCCAGTTGCCCGGAATTTCCTAAAATACGCCTGATCTGCAAGTGAAGGAGGAGCAGTTCTCCGGAGACCAAAGGCGAGAGGTATCTTACATCTTTTGCAGAGGAGAGGAGGGGCGGGGGAGCAGGGCGCGGGGGGGGGAGGGGGGAGGCGGCGGGACGGGGGGGGGCGCCCTGGCAGGTAAGGAAGGAAATCCGTCTTGGGCAGGCACCGGTGGGACCTGAAATCGAGGTGTCAGGACAGCCCTCCCCGCAGAAGCGGGGGGCCCAGGGAGGGTCCCCGAGGGGGACGCCAGCCTGGGCCAGGGCTCCCGGCGCCCCGCCCCGCCTCTCTCGCCGCCACCGGGGACCCGGGACCGCGGACAGAGGCAGAAGCTAAGCGAACGTCTGCGGTCCCAGCCACGTCCTCCCGCAGCTCACCTGAGAGTGTCGCCTCCGCCCTCGGCTCCCACGGTGCATCCCGCGGGGCCTGGCGGAGGGTGCAGCGATGCCGCCCCGACCGGCCCCAGGGCTGCCGGGCCTGGCCTCCCCGCTCCGGGGACGCACCGGGTGCCCGCCTCGCACCGGCTCCCCGGATCCGCCGGGCTGCAGAGAAGGAAGGAGAGGCGGAAAGGCTGCCTCCCCTCCCCCACAGCAAGCCTCCCCCTGAGCTGCGGCTCTCTGCAGTTCCCTCTGGCGCAGGTCCGGCCCCGCTCCCCCGCCCGGGAGTCACTTCGGCGGCGGCGGCCCAGTCGCCATTACAGCCCAACAACTGACACGGAGGAGGAGCGGCGCCGGCGGCAGTGGCGGTGGCGGCCGCGCGAGGCAGGGCGGGAGCGGTCGAGGTGGGGGGGGCGGGGGGGGCAGGCAAACCTCGCGAGAACTGTCCCGAGTGGGCTCCACAGGAATACAGCCTTTAGTTGGGGCCATGTTGAGTGTGGCTAAGATGTACGGGCAGGGATAAGACGAAGAAAGGACGCTCGAGAGCGCCATGTTTGGCGTGGCGAGTTGGTGCCCGGCGGGACTCGGGAGGAGCCAGAGCAGATCCGCAGCGGAGACCTCCCCCGCCCTCCTTCTTCGGACGCTAATTGGGCCTTCTGGCTGCGCATTTCACCCCGGCGAAAAAAAAACAAGGTGTGGGGCGGTGGGGGTGGGGGGTTGACCAGGGTGAACTCAGGAGTCAGAATGTGCAGCTTCTCAGAATTTACGGCGTTCCCACCAGTTGTCGTCCAAGTAAATCTTCTTTACCCGCGTCAGTTTCAGAGTCTTTGCAGCTCTGCGGCTGCTGCAGTTCCCCCCGCTGCTGTCACTGTGGCGGTTTTATTCTGGAGATTTGGAGTCGTGCTCAGCCTGCAGCCTGACGGCTAATCCAGAGCGAGTAAAACGGTGTTTCCTCCCGTTGGGTATAGGCATCGATGATGAACGGTGCAGTCTGTGATCAGCAGGTCTTCTGACACCTTTATCCTCCTTCCCCAGTCTCCGTATGGTGAATTCTAACATGTGTCAGGACTTAGCTTAAATGACACCTCTTCTGCAAATAATGCCACCTTCCGTTAGGTGCTCACTTCACACAAGCTCTCTGCCCATCACCTTTTCTCCACCTTCTGAACTCCGATAGCTGTTTATCCAGAGACTGTTTCTCATCTTTAAGTATCTTGAAGACCCTTTTGTCTCTCTCTACCCCAATAGGGCCTAGGTCGGTAACTGGGACGTTTTAGGGGCTCGATCCCTGCTTGTTGGGTAGACCTCAACAGTAGAAGCAGGAGGCAGTAACTGCTCCCTCTTTGCAGGGCCTTTGGCTGTGCCTGGATAAGACCTACGTGGATGTATAAAATCCTGTATGTAAAGTATGTATTGTGTCTCTAGGAAACTGCTGGAGAGAACAGGAAATGTGGGTATCCCAGTGGTGCCAGCGGTGGCACGAAAAACAACATAAGGAAAGAGTTATTTAATTATTTCCCCCATCCATTATACAACCACCTTGTTTAGTATTTATAAAACTTTTTTTTAGAAGAGGAAATGGGTTGTGAAAAGCTAAGTAGTTTGCCCAATACTATACCATAAGCAAAAGGCAAATGTAAGATTTGAGGTCTCGCTAAACCCTATTTATGCTTCTCCACCCCCATGCTGCCTCCTGGGTAACAGAAAACACCAAAAGTTCCCGTCACTGTGTGGAGTGCGATGTTATCCTCATGTCAGCCTATGCGCGATTTCCACTAGTCCTACCTTGTGCAGATCCCTGCCTCTCCTTCACCCCCCTAATACCTCAAACACAGCCACCTCTCTCCATTTTGACATGCCATAACTGTTGTTTGTACCCTACACATTGACTCTTGCAGCGTTTCATCATATTTTACTATAATGAATATTAAATTGCAATTTTTTTAAAATTTTTATTTATTTATGATAGTCACAGAGAGAGAGAGAGAGGCAGAGACACAGGCAGAGGGAGAAGCAGGCTCCATGCACCAGGAGCCCAACGTGGGATTCGATCCCGGGTCTCCAGGATCGCGCCCTGGGCCAAAGGCAGGCGCCAAACCGCTGCGCCACCCAGGGATCCCTAAATTGCAATTTTTTGAGTGAGAGCTTAAGACAAATGGATAGCAGCAAGTAAATTGTCGGACAGGAGTCCAAGTAGCCAATTTGCAAAGAGGTAATATGACACCAGTTATGTAATTCTTGGCCCCTTTCCCAAGACTCTACAACCTGGTCAGTGATATAGAAAGGCTTGAGAGACTGTAGATTCACAGAATTTGAGAGGAAGATTTCTGAAGGGAATAGACAGAGGGGTGAGAAGGGCTTTAAGGAGACAACATGTAAAGCTTGATGTGTGCATCAGAATCTGGAAGCCAGAGGAACCAGACACTGGATTCAGCCTGAAAAACATACAGGAGCCTTACCAGCCAAGTGAGAATGGTACCCACCACGTTAAGTGTTCCCGCTCCAAAAAGGAGTCAGAGGTAACTGAACCCATGTAGATAGTACTCTACTATTTGAGTTAAGAAAAAGTGGAGAGATATATAATATTTGCTTGTACATGTATGAGCCATCTATACATTAATGCAGAAGACGCTGCTAACACTGGCTGCATGGAAGGAAATTGAACAAGAATAAGAGGGAGATTTATCAGTTGTACTCTTTTGTACTTTAAGAATTTTGAACCATGTGAAAATACTAGCCATTTAAAAATATAAGTATTTTTAAATAAAGATTAGGTCATTTTCCTTTAAAAAAGAGAGAGGGAGAGAGAGAGAGAGAGCACCTGAGTGGCTCAGTGGTTGAGCGGTTTGCCTTTGGCTCAGGTTATGATCCTGGGTCCTGGGATCGAGTCCTACATCAGGCTCCCTGGTGGAAGCCTGCTTCTCCCTCTGCCTATGTCTCTGCCTCTCTCTCTGTGTCTTTCATGAATAAATAAAATCTTTAAAAATAAATAATTAAAAAAATAATAATAGAAATTAATTAAAATTGAAGGAATCCTCCTTTGAATTGAAGGGTAGCCTGCCAGGGTGAGTGGAACACAGAAAAAGAAGAGTATTTGGCTGGGGGCAGAAGATGAGGGGACATTGGGAACAGCCAGCTGAAGGAGGGGCAGTCACAGGAACATCAATAACATTCCACAGGAAAGAATGGAATGGTCAAAAATGGGGAGAGGGAGGGAAGGAGGAGGGGATTTTTAAAAACCATAAGGAAACCAGTACTGTAGTAAAGAGTAAAAAATGAAAAAAGAGAATTACCATATGATCTAGTAGTTCTACTTCTGGTATTTACTCTAAAAATACAAAAACACTAATTTGAGAGATATATGCACCCCTATGTTTACTGCAGAATTACATGCAATAGCCAAAATATGGAAGAAACCGAGGTGTCCATTGATAGATGTATGGATAAGAAGATGTGGGGTACATACAATGCAGTATTACCCAGCCATAAAAAAAGAGTGAAATCTTGCCATTTGCAACAACATGGATGGATCTAGACTTTAAAGCTAAGTGAAATAAGTCAGAGAAAGATGAATACCATATGATTTCACTCATACGTGGAATTTAGGAAACAAAACAAAGAGGAAAAAAAAAGAGAAAACCAAAAAAAAAAAAACAAAACCCTTAACTATGGAGAACAAAGAGATGGTTCCCAGAGGGGAGGTGCGTGAGGGGGCCAATGGATGAAATAGGTGGAGGGGATTAAGAGTACATGTATCTTGATGAGCACGGAGTAATGTATAGAATTACTGAATCACTTATTGTACACCTGAAACTAATATAACACTATGTTAACTATACTGGGTTTAAAATAAATAAATATAAAAATACCACCACCAAAAAAATAATAACAATAATAATAAAGAAAAAGCCGTAAGGCCACATGGTCCACCTATGGAAAATTGAATTTTAAAAAAATCAGCAAATGCAGAAAAAATTGTAGATTAGTATCAACAATTCAGAAAAGTTCAGTGATTAAAAAACCAAACTGGGGTGCCTGGCTGGGTCAGTCAGTAGAGCGTGTGACTCTTGATCTTGGGGGTGTAAGTTCAAGCTCCATAAGTAGAGATTATTTAAAAATGAAATCTTTTAAGAAAAACTAAAAACCAATTTTTAAAAATGGCAATAATTTGGCACAACATGGATGAAACTTAAGGACATTGTGCTAAGTGAAATAAGTCAGACAGAGAAAGACAAATACTGTATGATTAAAATATACACATATATCAAATCACTATGCTGTACACCTAAAACTAATATGTTTATGTCAGTTATATCCCAATAAAAAATAATTTAAAAAATTTTTAATTGTAAGATGTTCTATATCACTAGCAATCAGGGAAAGAAAATAAAACCGTAATGAGAAATCATCTCACTCCCACCAGTTCAGCGAAAATTTAAAGGTCTGATAATATCACATGTTGGCAATGACATGAAGCAATGGGAATTTTTATGCACTTCTGATAGCTGTGTAAATTGGTATAATGATTTGGGAAACAGTTTGGAAATATGTAGTAGTGTGGAATGACCCAACAATTCACTGAAAGTGGTCCACATTCTCAAACTCATCGTTACTGGACCATAATAAGATGAAGAGCTTGCTCAAGCATATAAATCAAATGTACCACTAAGCACACTTTAAGTAAGCTGACGTTTTTATTTTTGAGGTAAGATTTTCTTGATGAAGGAGATGGTATATTGATGTATATTCTGACCCAAGCTCCTTGTCCCATCTCAGATTTGTATCTAATAGCTAACTAACATAAGAAACCCAGGTACAAAAGGAGACAAATACAATAATTTTTACAGAAGCATTATTTATGATAGAAAAAAATAGAAAATAATATGTCCATCAGTAAGAGAATGGGTAAGTAAGCAGAGGAAAATTCACACAATGAAACACTAAGCAGCAATGAAAATAAGTTAAAGAATAAATCTCACAAATATTTTTGTGAAAAATTGCCTTAAAAAAGCAAATTACAAAAGGATATATATGGTATAATGCCACTTCCATAAAGTTTAAAAACATGTGCCATACTGGTAAATGTTATTTAGGAATACATAAAAATATAGCAAATTCTTTTTTATTTATAAAATATTTTTATTTATTTATTCATGAGAGACACAGAGAGAGGGGCAGAGACATAGGCAGAGAAGCAGGCTCCATGCAGGGAGCCCAACATGAGACTCGATCTGGGGACTCCAGGATCACACCCTGGGCTGAAGGCAGACACTCAACCACTGAACCAACCAGGCATTCCTGTAGCAAAATATTTTTAAATGCCAAAGAATAAAAAGGAGTAAACTCAGAAATATGATTACATCTGAGGGAGC